ACCCGCGTGACGGAGGGATTCTGATTCTCGCTTGATTTTATAATCGGTGCTTCTCATGCTAAGATTTGATTTCAGATGAATTTTTTTTTAAATTTAATGTGACTCTGGTTGTAATAATTCTTTGTAAAGAGCGGGAAATATTTTATTAGTAAAAATAAAAGTTTTCACCTCCTTTTTTTTGTGCTTTTTTTTTTGGTTTCTCTTTTCTTCCTCTTCTTCTTCTTCCTTCTGTTGTTTTAATGGTAATTGAATGTGTGTTACGTTGAAAATTGTCCCCGAGCAGAAGTAGCAGCCGAAACCCCGCATCAGCCTCTAACTCTGTGACAGCCCTGTATCTGCCAGCAGCCTGATGGGTAGCCAGTCAGCACATTTTCTGGTCATGTGATCTCTGGTCATGTGATCACTGATGTAATTTATTATATTGTACCACATGTTACCATGCAAAATACTACATATTAAAGTGTGTAAAGCAACGCACTGCTGGCCATTAAATGTGTGGGCTATGAGGACCTAGGAGGGGGCTTCCCAGGGTGGCAGCTGGAGGCAGAGTGCAGCAGATGTTTAATGTTGGGTTACTAGGCAGTGCTGGTGGAATGTGTGTTCCTTACCACAGACAGTATTTGCTTGGCCCAAAATGTAACTTTAAAGCCAAGATTGAGTTTAAAATAACATTTAAAAAGAAAAAATCCATTCTCACCCGTTCTCTATTGCTGCCGGAGTAGGAAAGCCTGTCCCCTGCCAGCATGCTGCACACCCCTTGCTCTTTCTGTGTAGAAGCAGCGGTCTCTCTGCAGAGGTCTCTCACACACCTTGCCGAATCAGAGCTAGAACTTTCCAATCAGCAAAGCTCATGCTTCCTGCTGATTGGAGAGCTCAGTAAGGGGGTGTGCCAGACCTCTGCAGATGGACCACTTCTTCCACCCAGAGAGCAAAGGTACTTCTTTGCAGCATGCTGGCAGGGGACCGGCTTTTCTACTCAGGTTGTGGCTGTAAGACTTCGAACATCTTTTGTTTTGATGCCCCCGCAATGTACTCAGCTGGTTTAAAATGAAAGTTTTTAAAGTGGATTTTAACCAGTCAGTGCAAGCACAAAGCAGTTTGCACTGTCCCCTTATTTCCCCTTACAGCACCGGAGTTCCGAGACCTGCCATGCATTCATCAATACAATATTTGAGGTTCTATATTCTGCTGGCAGGCTTGTATTGCAAGCGGGGGGGTTGCACCTTCTGATCGGGAGGATGTGCTAGACCAGCGGTTCTCAACCCGTGTGACCTCAGGACCCAACATTTGTCCCCGGTCATTAAGTTACGACCCAAGTCGTACTGCAATGGAACGCACGGCATTAGGGTACCGCATGTTACGGTGCGGGGCGTACGAGCTGTGGGTGGGAGGTGCGTTTGGGGTGCCATTCAAATGAAAGGCAACGCAACTCCCACACCAGAGTGTGCGGCAGGTGCGATTGCGTGGTACAGTTTAACGCACTGCACTAGTGTGAACGGGCCCTCAAAAAACACCGACATCCATACACAGACACAACCTCACACTCGCAGACATTCTCACATAAAAAAATACAAATGTTTTTGTAGTACCGTATATACTCGAGTATAAGCCGAGATTTTCAGCCCATTTTTTTGGCTGAAAAGTGCCCCCCTCGGCTTATACTCGAGTATATACGGTATGTAAGTTTTTTTTTTTTTTTAAAAATCCCCCCCCCAGTCTCCCCCCCTTACGCGAACTGGAGTGGATTCTCAGCCTGGGGTCCGGTGGGGGCTGCTGTGCTGTGATGGAGCTCCATCCATACGTGCATTGCTTACAGCTCCCCTGCGTGACTGGAATGACGTCACATTCTGTATGGAGCTGTCACTTGTCCTGTAGAGGAGTCTGGACCTGAGTAACATCACATTCTGGCTCTACTGGGCACACAAGGGAGCTGTACCAGCAATGCACGTATGGATGGAGCTCCATCACAGCACAGCAGCCCCCACCGGACCCCAGGCTGAGAATCCACTCCAGTTCGCGTAAGGGGGGGAGACTGGGGGGGGGATTTTTAAAAAAAAAAAAAAACAACTTACATACCGTATATACTCGAGTATAAGCCGAGGGGGGCACTTTTCAGCCAAAAAAATGGGCTGAAAATCTCGGCTTATACTCGAGTATATACGGTATGTAAGTTTTTTTTTTTTTTTAAAAATCCCCCCCCCAGTCTCCCCCCCTTACGCGAACTGGAGTGGATTCTCAGCCTGGGGTCCGGTGGGGGCTGCTGTGCTGTGATGGAGCTCCATCCATACGTGCATTGCTTACAGCTCCCCTGCGTGACTGGAATGACGTCACATTCTGTATGGAGCTGTCACTTGTCCTGTAGAGGAGTCTGGACCTGAGTAACATCACATTCTGGCTCTACTGGGCACACAAGGGAGCTGTACCAGCAATGCACGTATGGATGGAGCTCCATCACAGCACAGCAGCCCCCACCGGACCCCAGGCTGAGAATCCACTCCAGTTCGCGTAAGGGGGGGAGACTGGGGGGGGGATTTTTAAAAAAAAAAAAAAACAACTTACATACCGTATATACTCGAGTATAAGCCGAGGGGGGCACTTTTCAGCCAAAAAAATGGGCTGAAAATCTCGGCTTATACTCGAGTATATACGGTATGTAAGTTTTTTTTTTTTTTTAAAAATCCCCCCCCCAGTCTCCCCCCCTTACGCGAACTGGAGTGGATTCTCAGCCTGGGGTCCGGTGGGGGCTGCTGTGCTGTGATGGAGCTCCATCCATACGTGCATTGCTGGTACAGCTCCCTTGTGTGCCCAGTAGAGCCAGAATGTGATGTTACTCAGGTCCAGACTCCTCTACAGGACAAGTGACAGCTCCATACAGAATGTGACGTCATTCCAGTCACGCAGGGGAGCTGTAAGCAATGCACGTATGGATGGAGCTCCTTTGCAGCCATACCCCCAGCCCGCCTCAAGCTGACACTCGGCGCCGGGCGGCATCTTTTGAATGGCTGCTTAGCACCAGAACTGACAGCGCTGCGCTAGGGGGAGTCTGAGGAGCTTCTCACCTAGAAAGTGGAAGGCATGCGGCGACCCACTGAACATGGGGGGGACCCACTTTTAGGTCATGACCCACCAGACGAGAACCAAGGATCTAGAGCAATGACACACTGACACTCGGCGTTCCGGAGCAATGACACACTGACACTCGGCATTCCGGAGCAATGACACACTGACACTTGGGGTCCCTTGATGGACCATTTCCTGAAATGTTTTTTTCTACACAAGCCAATAATGATTACGAGCAGCGGATATTTTTCGGTCTTTATGTAACATTATTGATAATAATTAAAATGCGTTCATCAGAATTTATAAAAGTTCTGTCCCATTGACACTGTCGGGTACAACAAGTACAGACACAACCGGCGGCTCTCGGAGCTTCCTGACATGTTAGCATCTCGGAACGCATGGCTCCATAAAAACCCAACTTCACAGCCGGCGCCAGCCAGACCGCCCTGTTCCACAATGTCAGGAGCTCCACAAGCATAGGGATTGAGATTCCAACTCAGAAGGGAGCTCTGTGTCAGCTCGGGGGTCCCGGAGCAGTCTGAGAAGTGTAGAAAGGATGAGAGCACCAGCAGGTTATTACTGCACATGAGAGAGAAGAGAAAAAGCTAATACATTTTTGGGGGT